TGGTTCCAAAGTTGTAGGATTGACATCGCTCTTTATTGACACACTCAAACCGACAAGAACTTTCCGAATCCACTTCTATTTCTTTTATCAGGCTTCCGTTCAGCTTTTTTCCTTCTAACTCTTTGGCAAAGTTAACAGCTTTCAAATTTGGCCCTGAAATACGGCTTATGCCGTACACAACTGAACAGGCGAGATTAAATATCCACAGATACATGTTTACTCTCCATGGAAAGCTTTTCACGTGAACTGATGTGGAAATTTCTTTGACCTTGAGCGGCGACCTAGTTAGGTTAGCAGGTGAAAATAAATTCTTGAAGTGAAGAAATAGCTTGCAGCAATTTCTTTACGCTCTTAATACGCAAAGAATGCGGGAGGTCTTGTACAATAATTACCTTTTTTTTTTACATAAAAGGAAATACACTCCCTTTACTTGTGATTTCCATATTAATCTCTTTAACGACACGAAGAGGCCCCTAGTGGGGATCTCGTAAATAAACCTTTTTCATCATAATTTTTGTAATCATCATACCTCAGGCAGAGTGGACAGTTGTTATCAATGTACACCTTGCGAAGTAGAGCATTCAAATGGCGACTGATCAAATATATTTTGATTAGATACAACGTAAAAGTCTTTCCTATAGCTACAGGTTCACAGTACGACGAACTGATGTTAACATAACTTTTTCCACATTCATAATTAATAGCCACCTCGGAAGTACTTCATATTTATCATTGTTTCATCTTTATTCCTACCAAACTAAAAATTAACTTTTCGCTTCATTTAAGAATTCTCTTTAAATATGTATGAGTTACGTCCCTAAAAAATTCATATACCTTATTCGATGGTTTAACATAGAATCGCATGGCTAAAGGTAAACTCGCGCTCTGATTGGCTATCGAGGAGAGGGTATTTATAATCGTAATTGAATTGAGTGGAGTGCAATTTGAGCTGAAATCATACGCGTGATTTCGATTTGAAATCACAAGTATGATTTCAGAACAAAATCTCACAACACGAGGTTCAATTACCACTTTATTATCTCCATTGTTAAATTGCCCAAATACAGGCCTTGGTCAGTTCAAATATTTTATTAATGCAGTACTAAGCTGATTTGAAATTGAATTCATCCATTTTTTGGGAAGAAAAAAATAAGAGTTTTGGAAACAATAGTTGCAAAATTTGCCACATGATACTCTTTGTTTTTCATTTTCCTGCAATTTTATTGGTTACTTTGAACAAGCCTTGACATCTGATTGGTTGTTTTGTTTTTAGTGTAGGCTCCTCGTTGGCTGGGAAAAAGAGGCAATTTGAAGCAAAAATGGTGCGATTCGCACCAATTAGGGCCAATCAGATTACAGGGACCACCAGTGATTTCAAAATGGGTGTAACAGAGCGTGGAATTGCACTTGTGCATGAAGTGATATTGTTTCGCTTCTACGTAACCATAACAACTATCGTCAAATTGTCACAAAGTTTTCAACAAAACCATTTTCACCTTCTGAAGAGCCAAAAGCAAAAAAAAGCGTTTTTCAAAGTAAGCCTGAGGTTCTTCCCTGTTTTGAAATGAACTACAAATTCTTGGAGAGGGATAAAAAAAACCTCTCTCGCTAGCGAAAAGCGAGAAAGTTCTGTGAACACGGCCCAGAAATTCAACCAAACAAAACGAAGAAGCGACAACGGAAGAAGTGCCAGGGTCGATTGTCATATATACAGAAGAAGAAATAAATACCTTGAATCGCGATGTTAAACTTTCAGCGCTTTCGCTTGGTCACTTCATTTCTTTTAGTTTTGCCACCAAAGATGTAAAAGGTGTAAATTATTTTCCTTCTCGAGCAAATGATTTCGAAATTTGAAAAAAGATTTTTGAGATAAACGGCTTGTAAATTAAGTGAAATACCAATATTACCCTTAAGATAGTGTGAAGTTTGTTTAAAAAGTTTGAAAACAAATGTAAAAACAAGCACAAGTTACGAATAACGTTGTCGAAGATTCAAACGTGTACGACTGACCTTGCTTCCTATTCAGCTATTCAGCTCTGACAGTTGACTTTGAAATGGCTATCTGGGGCGCGTGCTCAGGATAAAGACAAAGAATATTATTACTGTTTTCTTTTTTTCTTATTTTCATTCAATTATGTGATTCAAGGAAACCGCTTAACTCGTGCAATATCGGCTCTCGCGTGCAATTTAACGCGGAATTCCCTCGTCAGGTAATTAATTACAGCGACTGCATCCCAATCCTCCTTTGTTTGTTTGTTTTTTTGCCACCCCGCTACTATTGCACCGTTTACTAATCGCGTTTCGTTTTACTAGCTGAACGCCTGAAAAAAGCTATCTTTTTCAATGAGGTTTGGTCATCTGGTTTCTTCTCCACTAAAACCAGCTTAACAAGAATTTGACAACCGATATGTCTCAGTACTATATTGTTTATTACTCGTTTAAAGTATTTTGAAAAAACTTGTCCAAACCGACCTTAAAATCAGGGCTCCACAAGTCGAATTGGATTTAAGAAATAAGTAACACCATCATCAAAAATTTCCCTGACAAAGAGTCGGGTATCGGAACAAGCTAGTTTGCCAAACTAGTGGGATACATTTGAGTTAAGCTGTACTTTCGGCCTCCTCCGCAGCCAGAGACAACTCTAAATCATCAAGAGACTCTTCATCTAGCCACTCAGAAACTTCCTCATTTGTTAAAAATTTCACCCTCACATCATCAGCACAATTATTTTCAGGTAATACTCCACTACACATACATTTTCCATTCATCCTGGCGTGTGTTTCATCCTGACAAATCACATAGTTTGATGAAAGGTCCATTGCAGCCGTTTCGCTTAATTTGGTTTGGTTACTTTCCCCATGCAATAACTTCAGTATTTCATTCGTGTAATTGTCATTATCGTGACATGATTGTAAGATATACTTGCTGTGATCCTTAAGGCTCTTTGTATGTGAAACTGCATCCTTGTTATCATAAAAGTGCTCGGGAATCTGAAGCTCAAGCAGTAATTCATCGTCCAAGTCATTATCGTAGTCACAATCACTAACTTGATGTTGCGTGACATAACCACTGATGTCAAATTGCGTTACATCTTGTTTAGTTCTTGAGACACAATTTTTGTTCATGTTGTTCTCATTCGTGTTTAGAATTTCTTCCACTTCATCATTCCCGGAATCATTTGGCTTCTGCTCACATTCAGACAATAACTTGCAAAGCTCTTGATCATCAAAATCATCAGTTAAAAATTCATCAAACTAAAAGGTGAAAAAAATCAATGTTGAAACTTTTGTAAAATAAATTAACAAAAGAGCGTGTCTGTCACTCGACAAACTCTCAATTTATGATTAATTAGCGTAAGCTATACTTCATGAACCGTATTCAAATTCTTCAAGATCGAAGAATTATATACAAATCTTTACTCTATTACCTCACAACTTGACAATGGATTGATTTCCTGTGGAATAGGCTTTTCTGAAAGTGACCAAAAGATAGATGGTATATAATTTGCTTTTTTCGAATATATCCAACAACTGGCTTACACTATGATAAGAAGATGTTTACGGCGTCAATACTCCCACAATTTGTTGATTGATGTGAAATTCAAGTTTTGCGCTCGCCACCGCTAAGAATAGACCCAAGACTTCTTCCCAAGATTGTTTCGCAAAAATTCACACCTTTTCACAATTTTCAAAGAGAGTGTATTTAGACTACCTTATTAAAGGATCCATAAAATTGTACAAAGCTAGAACAGTACTTTTAAAGATTTGAAGAAAAATTACATATATACATGAAGATTTATCTAGCCCTGGTTCAATTCCAGAACAGTTTTACTGAAGGCTAGTTCTCCAGTTCCTGACAATACCATACTTTGAATTACGATTGGAATCTGTGCGAGAACTCTCCGCGACCCGTTTCACCGCTTCCTCCATTTTAAGCCTGCACTCAAAGAAATCCTACCAACTGATGTCTTTTTTTTGCAGCTAATACTCACATACCAGGGGAACGATAGTCAATCCTTCTACAGTCGGGATCGTGACATTTCTGGTAATAAACACCAAGTCTCAAGTCTGCCACAATCCTAACATGCAAGAAAAAAATTAACTAGGTGTTCTCACATTCAATAATAATTGATTTATTTTTAAGGAAAATTCATAAAAATAATAATTATATATTACTTTATCAACATTACATTCTTTAAAGGAAGGTTTCGTATCCACCATCATCACCACGTCCAACTACATACGGTTATAAGTTTACCTAATCATGTGAACAACATAAGCACCATGCTGTAGAATCGTCGCGATCCAAACCGAGAGTGAAGACATCGAGAGGCAAACGATAATAGTTTTTATCATATAAACTACGGTGTTATACAAGGATTTCTAGCCATGAGAAAAGCCGTAACAACATACGTGAAAAAAACACTATATGTTTTCACGTGTGTTTGATATCGCCAATCAGCTGTTGACACGTCACTCGCCTTTCGCGCCACTCGGTCAGGTTGATGAATGAACAGCGAAGCCCTCACGATTCTTAATACAAGGCCGTTTGTCGGAACTTTCTCGGATTATGGCGGTTAAAACACTAAAAACTCCGTACCGCTCACAGAAAGTGATATTCAAACTTTTCTAGAAGGGAAAGAAAACCAATTTGCGAAAAGGAAAACCGAACGTTACGTATTCAGTGGCTTTGGTAACGGCATTTCTCGCGGCTAAGAACGAAAATCGACAACTGGAAGATTTGCCACAGGCCGATTTTGGCCGTTTACCTGAAAGATTTCTGTCGGTAAGGACAAAGTCAATAAATGAGAATTTGTAAATGGAAAATAACGCCCACTGTTGTTTTTATAAGCATTTTTCTATCTTGAGCCTAAGGGCCGACACACTGTACGATTTTCGATTCTTTTATTTTCATTCTTAATGACGTCGGCTTTTCTTGTCACCAAAGGGCTATCGGGATAAACAAAATAATACAACATGCACGTGTTCTTCGGCTTATTATACATAGAGAATAATACATGGCTGCTTGTAGATATGGAATTTCTCCCTCTCGTGTTCAACTCGACATCTCACTCGTTCGCTGCGCTCACTTGTGAGCTATCAAGTTAAATACTCGAAGAGAAATTCCATATCTACGCGCGCCCTTGTATTATTCTCTATGTATAATAAGCTGAAGAACACGACCGGTTTAATTGGTCCTTACTTATGATCTATTAGAGGACAGACGCATAGAGGACGTCACCATGAACATCCTTTTGCTTTACTACAATATTAAACAAACAGATTTCATGTTGCCGTGGGTATGGACAGCAATAGATCACAGAAGATGTCGCAATGTGATGAGAACAGCTGTGACACACTCGGCTGCACCTCTTGAGCCACTTTTTTGTTCTTAACACGTTTTAACTTCACCAGTGATCTCTTACTGAACAGAGGCAAGTAAAGGTAACATGGAATCTGCTTGATAATCATTATTAAGAGAGCAGCTCTTTGGCTTACATCACGTTATTACTCTTGTGCGCTCTTCCAATGTTTTCACACCAACGGTTATTAATAACATCATAGGTGACTAACTTTCCTGTTGAATAAAAAAAGAAATTGGTTTGCTCAGACTTAGCAATCCCTAGCAATTCCCTCAGCTAATTAAGGCCTGATTCACTTAATTTGAAGGAATGGCCGATCTCCTGTTCCTTACATTTTTTTTCCAGGAGTATTCCTCAGACTGAACAGAACTTATACGTAACATAAATATTCATTTCATGTTCCTAAATGTTCTTATTCTTTAGAGATCAGTGATCCATTTGTACCATCCCCTTGCAAAGTCAACATAACTAACAGCAGTCAATCCTTGGAGAAAAAAATATAATAAAAAAATAGAAAAGAACTATCTTGGAAGTTTGGAAGCCTTCTTGAAGGTTCAGTTAAAACAAAAAGTATTTCCGAAATTGTTGTTCAACTGATCAAGCATGTTTGTCTCTAGACTCCTTTGTAATCACCTTGTTTATTACTTGGCTCCCAAAAAAAAAATGTACCATGACTCACTTGCAACATCATTTAATATCGAAAGCGGGACTAACTGGGACTTCAATCCTCAAAGATGACTCACTTTTTGTTACCCGTACTCCTCGCAAATGTAAACTCATTTATGTATACAATTATCTTTTATTAGCAATAGCTTCTATCCAAGACGGTACCTTGTGGGAAATAAACCCATCTCCTGATCTGACCCTGTACTCCACCCTTGTTGAGAACACTTAAGATAAAGTTGTCAATCTCGGGATAAGGGGAGTGTTCATATCCATGCTGAGAAGGCGAACCTAACAACAAGGAGAAGAACTTGAGAAGAGACAAACTTCCTTCTTGCGCTTAACTTTCTGTAACATCACTGAATAAGGTAACCACAGGAAGGGTATGGAATCCGCTCCACCTAACGCGCAGATCGACAGTGGGCTAACTGTCGGTCTATTTGCGGCTAACTGTCGTTTGATTGTCGGCTAACTGTCGTTTGATTGTCAGCTAACAGTCGTTTGATTGTCGGCTAACAGTCGTTTGATTGTCGGCTGTCGGCCGAAAATGGGCCGAGTACAAGCCAATTATCCGATGACTATCTAACCTGCGAGAAGGCCATCGTTATTAACGCGTGGGATTTCCTTGCCCGTGGGAAAAAAAAAAGGCCATGAGCAACGCGAGATAAGTCTGGAAAGGAGTTCAGCACTGATATTGAATGCCAGACCCCTCGCAAACCCATTCCCCAACTCGTTTCAAATCCTCCCTCGAGCGGGAAATTACCACTGCACTTACTTCAAAATTACATCTTCACAAACATTCTAAACAGAAAGTTAACTACAAAACATACTTGAATCGCGTGCATCCATTCGAGAGGATCTTTTGCAAGATTTCTCACAATTGCCACATGTTAAAACTTTTACATCTTTTCCACCCACTTGCATGCTGTTTGATAAAGAAAAGGTTAAAAAAGAAAGAAGCACCAACTATGGAATTACGTCAGAAAAAGTTGTACTGCGTGAAGACTCAAATTTGTCATCACAATTGTAAAACGAGTTGCGTTCTCACCTGACATTGGAAACTAGAGAATCAAGAAATAGCAAGTACTCAGGATCTTTGGAGAAACTTCCTTTCGCATCTTTGAAGCTGGGCTGTCACATGACAAACAAGACACGAAAAATGTGATCAAACTCTCTCCATCTGATAAGTGTTAATATTTAAGGGACAACAAAGGATACATTATAGAAAGATGTTTTTCGTCTTGTCACGAGCGTGGGACAAAGAAAAAATTCTGAGTCTCCATGAGGAATCGAACCTCAGACTTACGGATTCCGCGCTCCGATGCTCTACCACTGAGCCACAGAGACTCCACGGTGAGCGAGGTCTATTACGAAGTTAATATGACACGCGTCCTGCATACTGCTAGGACCAGTAATGGCACTAGCGTAATGTTCGTGGATGGAAATAAGAGAGATGGTAAGTTTTGAACTTGGTAAAGAAATATAGAAAGATGTTTTTCGTCTTGTCACGAGTGTGGGACAAAGAAAAAATTATGAGTCTCCATGAGGAATCGAATGTATTCTAAGGATACATTTATTACATACCTCGTAGGTGTTCTGACTGGAGAGAATCAGATGAGAATCTTTTCCTATCTTTGTTGACTTGAAAATTCGAAAGTTTCTATTTTTTGTATAAACACCTGAAAATTAAAACGGATAAAGTCAGCAAGCAAAAATTTTCCCTTCTGCTCAAGATCAATGTGTCATTCACATGTACTGACTTTTGATTTTTTCTCACACATCATTACACACACCTTGATCACAGAAAATCCCCACTTCACCTTTTCCATCCTTCACAACAAGTTCTCTTAGTTCTTGTAGGCTAACTGCAAAGGCAAATGAAAGCTATAAATTTATCCTCTCAACAAATTTGATTTTTTTTGTGTGTGTTTAGGGGTCTGGTGTTCTCGGCAAGAGGCTCAGCTCCAACAGTGATTCTCTCCACACAAGCCAGTAAGTCACTGTGTTTTACGCGTGTAAAACCTTTTTTGTTTTGTAAACCTCAAAATAGAGTGTTCTTCTTTTCCCTTATTTTCTAAAGAAATTTCTACAAATGTTTCATATTCCTTTCAATCATTTTGCAAAACAGCAGTTGTTTCTTATGTTTTCCTACAAAATTTTGGAAGGCAAATCAGAGAGCCTTAACTCAGAATTAATTCCCTTATGCATGCCTGTCATTTGACAGCTGTGTTTACCTGTCAAAGACTGGCCACAGAAACCTGGAGAAACTCTGACATTAAGGGGCCACAATGTTCTGAACACTTATTCTTTGTTTTAGAGGGATGAGTTTGAGCCACACTTTAACTCAACAATATAATAAAATGCAAACACTACACAATCAACCCAAAACTGCACCTGAGGTAAGGCTTTCAAGTTCTTTCTCTTCACATATCTTTTCAGCATTTTCAGGTACGGGGGCATTTCCAGTCGAGACCTCACTCCCTGACATTGTTGGTTGATGAGAGTTACATGTAAAACCCATGTCTTTGTTTACAGAAAACTCAGTACCAACTCTGAGCTTCATTTCCAGCAATGTGCAAATGTGTCGGACAAAATTTCCTGAAAATTAGAATTCTCAACATTCAAATTGAAGGTTTTCTTCAAAAATTGTCATAAGCAGCATGAGAATTGTCTAAAGCAAATGGAGAATGCTGTAAAATAGTACGTAACAACTTCACATCTGAATTAAACAAAGCTAGGGCCTTTAAAATTCAGCTGGAGTATCTGACAATGAGAGTAAAACCCATTTTCTTAGGGGTAATGAACCACCTAAAAATTTTATCACTTAAAAACAGGACAAAAGCAAAAAATCCTATCATCAATAACTTTAGAAAATTATCTGAAGAATTTCAGACTGTATGTTGCTTAAAGTAGCATAACAGAGTAAATATTTTCTGTGCTATAAATAACTGTATCCCTACCAGCATGAATGTTATCTTTAAACACAGCACCAGGTAAGTGGAATATCAGATGTCTTGAAAACTTAGAAGAAGTGCTGAAATCAAATCAACAACAATGTACATATACTTGTTAATGATCCAGGGATTGAAGCTTCACGTAATTGAGTAATTCTGTCAGTAGATCAACAAAGCAAAACCATAATAATTTTATAGAAAGGAAGTTGTCTTACAACTCTAGCATGGTGAATAGAGATAAAGAGATACCTTTTACTAGAGTCTGGGTTTTGGTTCTTTTGGATATTGTGACTATGAAGTTTGGTTCTTTTGGATATTGTGACTATGAAGGTTTGGTTCTTTTGGATATTGTGACTATGAATGTCACAATCTTAGCCAAAGAACAGTGATGGAAAAAGTCAAAGAGGAAAATAAGAGAAGCTATTGCAGAAATAACAAGAAGGAGGCTAATATAATCATAATAATTATTACAATTGTTGAGCTCCCAAGTGTGGGAGAACTCAGGAATAATTTCACTTGGATTGAAGAAAGAAATTAACAATGACCAATTTTATTTCATTCGTTTAAGTACCAGTATATCACAGACATATAACAATCCCCATGGATAATAAGAGTTCTTATGTGAATCATTTCTTGGCATGGAAATAATCATTCATTACTAGTAACTTACCTTGAATCCAAATCTATAATAAATTTCCTGTCACAGTCAACACCATACATATTTTTCAGGTGGTGACAAACGTACTGAAATAGAAAAATCATTCATATTTACTCCATAGTATTTCCTTCCTCTAATGTTCATTAAGAAGAACATATCAGGGTTTTAATTGAGCAAACAGATTGGAGAATTCACCATCACAACCCACAATACAACACAGCCAACTGAGTCCAGTCCTTGTTCTCCACCATCTGTTGCACAGCAGAAAAAAGAGAAGCCGGTAGAATAAATAAACAAGTCATTCACAGGTTTACATAAGTAGATCAGTCCATAAGAGAAAAACTGTGCCCTAGGTCTTGAGTACCACCTGAGACCTGAGGCCTTACGTTGTACTCTAGACCTCCAACACAGTTTTTCCCCATTAAAGACCTCCTGCCCAGTAGATAACATATATACTCAGACATGGAAAATATTTCCTTGTTTATCTGCCTTATTCTCTTTCCTCTAGTCAATTTCCTTGGACTCACCTTGATGAAAATGTCTACCATACTGGCTCCATCCTTTAGTGGATTAAATTCGGTTTTAAATTCCAAGTCAAAATACAGTCGGCAAGCAGCCCCTAGAATTATTCAAAGATAAATAATATTGCAACAGAATCCAAGGTTTTTAAGCTGCAACCAGACTTCCCTGTTTTATAGACATCAATCATTCACAACATCAGACTCCTATTTTGGCATCAATGACTACAACCACCACCTTCTTCATCTCAACAACAATTGATCAGTTGGATGTTTGGGGGAAAACCGCAATCTAGAATAGATTCCTATCTCAGTTCTCAACACAGTCTCACTCCTAATTAACCTTTTTACTCCAAATTGAGTGACGAAGACAGAATATCTCCCTGCACCATCAATACAGTATCAAGCAGACAAGTGATGAGAATAGAGAAAAACATCAATTCAGGGATCATAAGTTAATCCAACACCAAACTGTCCAAACTAAAATAATAAGAATTGAAGGCAACACAGTAAGGAGAATTACTAATAAGATCTTGGGAATGAAAGCATGAAGTTGAAGAATGAGAATTAAATATATAAACAGGTAAATTACACAAAGATTTAAGACTACCTTCTGGTATAACTTCATAATAATTTCTGTCCTCTGATGAACATATCCTGCCAAGTTGAGAAAAAGGAACATCAGGCAAGGGTGACATCAAATTACAAGGAAAGAAAATGTTCTTTGTTTTTTTGTGCATTTGCTTTAAGTTTCTTCATTTCAAGCTATTTGATCATTTCAAATTTGGGATCTGTACAAGTGTCAATTGAAGTCTTCACTGATCCTTCTCACCAAGTGTTTTTCAGTTTTGCACTGCTAGCAGTTTCAAAGGACCATGCTTTGCAGGGAGCAGATCTAGGGGAGGGGTGCAGGGCATGCACACCTCTCCCCCTGAGATGACCTGTAGCTTTCTTATTAACTAGTATTGTGCATAACAAAAAAGAAAAACCTATAGTTCATTTGCACTGAAGCAAAACATGAGACACGGTTAAAAAAAGTTTGTTACATGCTATAGGAATGGTAGTTTGGCACTGCTCTTTCTAATAGCCCTTCTATTTGTCAGAGCGGACATCAGTAAGGTCACAAAGTCTCCTATGAAAAGTTCTATACCCACCCTTACTTTGCCAGAAACCCTTCTGAATTATTTAACCTTTCAGTCCCACTGGTGACCTAGAAAGAATTTCTCCTTACACTGTCAGTATGATATCAAGCTGACAAGTAATGAGAATAAAGAAAAATTTCAATTAGGGGATTAATGGTTGATCCAGTTCCAAATTCTCCAAACTAACATCACTTAAATTTTATAGCAGACAGCAAGGAGAATTACTAATGAAAGGGTTAAGTTTGCTAGGAATTGCAGTAAAATAAATGTGATACCTGACCTTGTATACTTGTGCCAAAAGTATGGCAAAGTTGCAACAATATAGCCACGTTTTCCATGACAGTCTTTCTCTTTAGCAAACACATGAACATCCTATCCAATAACAAAATGAAATATCACTATAAAATGTGCTAAGTTATTTTATTACCTCCTTTCCTTGATTTATTTTTGCTTCATTGTGAAAATGAACACAAAAAAGTAGAGTATACAGAGAAAAACAGATCCAAGATACTCTTACTCTGAAGAAAAAAACCCAGTTACATCACTTAAATTCCAAGAGATTCTTTCAAAAACAAATAAAAATATAGTTGAAGTAACTCTATTTAATAAGCTATGAAATAGTTAAGAACACATTGCTAGCTGTTGTCTGCCCTTGGTGTACATCAATGGTGTACATGTTTCATCAACCACCAAGATCCCCAAAAGTGTAGGCATTTTTTTTCTTTGAGGATTAATCAAAATTGCCTTTCAGAGTGATATTAGGCCTATGCATGCTAGTTACAGTAAATTACCATGTAGTTGAAAAGAAGCTTTGAGAAAGAGTAAATAATCCTGACGTGACGAGAAAAAAACTTGATGTTTGCTTCCAAAAATGAGAATAAAGTAATTAGAAATTTTGAAGTGTAGCTCACCTACCTCTTGACAAGTCTTGAGGTAATCAAAGGCCATTTGTTGTCTTGGGAATGTTTTAAAGATAGGTGGAGGGTCGTTTATCCTAAAAACATCAACATCGTTTGGGACACGACTCAAGACTGAGTAGTAACTGGAGCAAAGTTTAAAATGCAGAGTAGGGGAAGTGACAGGGCACTGGAATCACAGAATTATATTCCAGACATTCAGCAGCTGTAAAACTAAGGGAAGGGCTTTATTCCAACAGTTATTGTATGAATTAAAAAGTTTAGATCGCAATGCATGTAACATTGGTTCTACCTACAATTGACCTCATCCTAGAGTTGTGTTGTATTTTGAAGCGAAGAGTATTACTGGTAACAGCACTTTTCAGGAAGGAAAATATAGGAGCCTTCCCCAGCATTTTAACGAGATCAGAGGCATGCTACGTTTTGTTATCATAAGAAACATATTTGGCTAACTTAAAAATGTTTTTTAGATAACTCACTTTTGCCTTCACGTGGTAAACTGGAAAATTTAATGACAATTAATGGCTAATGTTAAATACAGTATAAAACTGTGTACCTTTGACGTTTGAGTAAAATTGGGTTATCTTCGAATTCCCTGGCGCACTTTTCCAGTTTATTCATCTTTTGCTGCCAAGCTTTATTCAATCTACAGCCAGAAAATTTAAATAACTATTAAAATTATCTTTATCAGCTACACAGTCTACAGCTGATGAAATGAAAAGCCGTTCCGTGAACAAACCTCTTTGAATTGTTCCCATAAAACGCCCTTGTAGTAATTGAAATTTCTGCCATCTTATGAACGTGTATCCACGACAATCATGTTTCTACACATGGATTTTAAAATTACCGATATGTCATTTTTAAAAACGCGAACCAAACATGTCATCCGCCATGTTTTTCAATGTTTCGCGCGCAACAACGGCCGCCAGGCTTTATTGGAAATTTTACCATATTTAGTCTCCGTTATGATCGTAGAGACTTGTGGGATAAAGAGATCAAAACGCGTGTCTTCTGCATTTCCCTTGCCGGCAAAATTCAATGGAAATCTGAGTGGCACTTGTGTTAGTGTAGCAGTTGGGGAGCATTTACTGGAATATTTGACTTCGATGTCAGTGCAAGATGTCGAAAAGGAGGTTGGATGTCGATGGAAGCTCATCCAACTCGTTAACCACAGCGAAAAGGATAAAGGAAGAGTTGAGGTAGGCTGTGATTCACATGCGAAGGGCAGATTTTCAGTTTTGAATAATCGCCGATCTTAATCAATCAGCAGCTGTTTTTGGAACAGAAACTAAAGTTCATTTGTCTTTTCCATCACAATCTTTCCTCGGGAAGGCGTTGCTCTGGAAATATTTCTATCGAAGCGTATCTGATTTAAATGTGGCCGATTAGATGTGCAATTTTTTTTCGAACCTACACTGCCGAATTATGCTGACAATTAAAGAAGACGGTATTTCCAATATCGCGAAATCATCATTTATTTCGCAGAATCCTCCCTTGTGTTACATAAATATGTAGGGCTATAAAAGATACCACACATATCCTTAAAGTGTTGTTTCAATTTTGGACCAAATTGATTACTATTCGAGCAAGAGAGCACTTAAAAACATTGACTTCTCTCTCTCTCTTTGTTACCCCAGTCTGAAACTCACGTTAGGTCGCTTAAATTCATACGTCGTGGCTTTCATTATATACACTGGATGAATTTCTTTGTGCTAAAATGAAACAAACTATATAAAAGATAAAAACAAAAAATTTAAAAACATTCACTAGAAAAGAAATTTCTTACAGTCAGAAAGTCACAAGGTACTTCCTCTAATCCAGGTGATAGCTATGTAAGACTCGAGATTATAGTATTCTCCAGGAAATAAAATGCCTTTGCAAGAGCTGTTGGCGTTTTTTGCCTGCCTTTGATGAATCATCATGTTTCTTTTACCTTGTGTAACACAAACTTGTGAGTTGCTGCCACTGCATTCTTCTCCTTCTGCCCTTTTGTAAGTGTTGTGTCAATTTACTCAGGCTTCCGCTGTTTGCGAGTATGATGTTACTCACCATAACGTTTAGATTTAGTATCCTCATTCCTGTAAGTGCCCCCTCTAATAAATGCCCCCCCTTTAAATGTGTTTTTGTACATGTTAATAAGCACCCCTTTTCTTTTAAGTGCCTTTTCTATAAACAAGCGTCGCTACTCTGTTACATTGATAGCATTGTCAGAGTATATGTCTACTGAGATCAACCATGGTTGATCTTCTTTTAACTTGCTTGCTTAAAGCCTCATTACAAAAACAGTGGTCTTCATCATGGTCTCTCAGCTATTATGTCTACATGACTGCACAGGTCCTTCATACGAATGATCTTGTCTCAAAATTTTGCATCAGTTGTCTGGCTTGTTGTTCCAGCTAGGAGGGATCTTTGGACAACAAGTCTGTTTTCCATTTTCTCTGATACATTTTGAATGAACATGAATGGTTTTTTTTGCATATTCAGCTGTTCCTTGAAAAAGAAATAAGCACCCTGTCCCTGATAAGCACTCTGTACCAACAGTGAATAAGTGCCCTTGGGTACTAAATCAAATCATTACAGTGGATAGATGTCACTCTTTGGGTTGTCATGGTTACCTGCTACACTTGTTAGCCTGCACCAACCTGTCAGTCACCTTTCTCCCCCCTCCCCCTCTGCACTCTATTTATTTTTGATGATTTTAATCAGAACTCTCTGTGACCTCGTTCTAAGAAGTATATATATCCAACTCCTGGTTTACATTTCTCTCTTTTCTGTTGGTAGTAATCCAAGCAATCTTCGCGGAAAGATCAATCCTTTCAATGGGAAGCTATTCTCAGACAGATATTTTGACATTCTTAAGAAGAGAATTGAGCTTCCAGTATGGGAGTACAGGGAAAAATTTATGGAGACTATGAAAGAAAAACAAGCTTTTGTCCTGGTTGGAGAGACTGGATCTGGTAAAACAACCCAGGTAATACTCAGCTGTATAATTTGGTATTATCAACTCAGGTGATAAGGTAAATTGGCCTCTGTAAAGACTTTCAAGCTGATGTTTCGAGCATTAGCCCTTTGTCAGAGGGAAGCACAAAGGGCTAACACTTGAAACATCAGCTCTGAAACTCTTTACGGTGGCCAGTTTACCTTGTCACCTCAGTTGATAATACTAATTAACTTTTTGTAGTCCCCTACCTGCACAGCACCACAGTTTCTTTTGGAAACTAACCCTGTTTATTCATCAATACTTAGCAGTATTTAGCTGTGATGAAGGGCTAATGCTCAAGTTATCAGCTTTAGAAACTGTTTATGGAAGCTATTTTAAATAACTCAGTTGATATCTTAGTAGTTTATTGAAAGTTGAGCTTTAGTACCCTCCTTATCAAATGCACATCCAAGACCAGTTATGCCTAATCTGGGTAGTGAGGTCATTAAACTGAGATTGATTTTCAAGCTGAAATGAAGCAAAAAAGACAGAAGAATTCAATTTTATTATGTTTGTGATTGCATTGCATTAAATGTGGTTTAAGGTGAAAGAAGAAAAACTTTTGATGAACTTTTTGTATTTTTGTAGATTCCTCAGTGGTGTCTTGAAACTCGTATTGACAAACGCAAGTGTGTGGCATGTACCCAGCCACGGAGGGTTGCTGCCATGAGTGTTGCTCAGCGTGTTGCTGATGAATTGGATGTCACCATAGGTCAAGAGGTTGGGTACACCATTCGATTTGAAGATTGCACAAGTCCTCGCACTATATTGAAGTAAGAGAAAAAGTCAATTTCATCCTCAACCCTTAAACTTCCAACATCTGATTATTGATTCTCCCTTCTAACTGCTACACATTTCCTGGTGAATGGTTATGAGAATTTGGTGTTAGATCAAAATAATAACTTCTACCTGATGAGTTTGAGTATTCTTGTTACCTGTTTGCTGGGTAATGTATGGATATTAAAGGGAGAAGTTGTGTGTTAATCAGATAGAGGGTTAAAAACTGTACAGGAAGAAAGAAGATGTGGGAAAATACAAAGGTATCAGTTAGGCTGGTACAGATGCCTGAAGAAGTGAGATAATCATCTCTAAATGTAATGTAAAGCTTGTTTTAATTTGTTTACAGGTACATGACAGATGGTATGTTGTTGCGGGAGGCTATGACTGATCCTTTACTAGACCGTTATGCAGTCATTCTTCTTGATGAGGCTCACGAGAGAACTCTTGCTACTGATATCCTGATGGGTCTACTGAAAGAGGTATGCACGCACCTGGAGATTTTGTATTTCTTCCAACAAGAGCTAGGTGACATAGCATTGGTTTCATACACTGCTACTTTGTAGGCATCATTTTTATCAGATCTGCAACCTCTTCTGTACTTGCATTACCCTGGTAGGTTCCATAATGCTCTTCCATTGCACCTTAAGTGAGAACTAGAGCATGTTCATCAGCAGGTGTTAGCCATTGTCTTCACAGGTATAGAATACTCTGTTGCCCTAGACTAAGCTGGCTTTCTTACATCAGCTAATTAAGATGAAGATTGTTGTATGAAGACGTCTGACTGATAAGGATAGCTGCCTTCCAAATCTTTTTTCCACAGCACATAAATCAGTGTACTCACCCAGATGTAATAGGCTTTTCTCAGTCTTAGAATGGAAAACAGACTGTATTAGAAACACATTTTTAATGAGCTTGTGTTTAATTAAAGAATAGTTTATATTAATGATCCCTTTTATTAAAGTTTAATATTTGCTTTACAAATTTTGGGTGTTGTATTTATATTATGATGTTATTAATCTTAGTACAGAAAATTATGTATATTATTTAGAATAAGAACTTTATCAGTAGTAGTATTCAACTGTAAATGCACAATCCAACCTTCTGGTTGCCTATGTGTTAATTAGTAAACTATCCACTCTACTACCTCTTCCTTATGTTGCACCTGTAACTGCTTTGCTACAGGTTGTGCGACAAAGACATGACCTTAAGATCATAATCATGAGTGCCACCTTAGATGCTGGGAAATTTCAGGAATACTTTGATGAGTGTCCACTCATGACAATCCCTGGACGAACTCATCCTGTGGAGATTTTTTACACTCCTGAACCTGAACGAGACTACCTGGAGGCTGCCATTAGAACAGTGGTACAGATACACATGTGTGAGGAAGTAGAGGGGGACATTTTGTTATTTCTTACTGGGCAAGAGGTGTGTTCAAAGTTCTTGATGTTCTGTTGTGTTTAAATGGTATATTTTATCATATAGATATATGAAATTTAACATAGTTAACAACTAGGAGCTAATATGGTTAATAGCATTTGCAGGTATTTGGTTCCTGTCTTGTTTGTTGTTAGCATTCATGCAGCATTTGTTGTGTTCTGTGGCATTTTGCAGCAGTACTGTGGTTGTTGTTGGGTAACCAGTCAACTCGCCGACGGACCAACTCGCCGACGCCAACTCGCCTACGTATAAAATCGAGTAGAGAAGTCGGCGAGTTGGTCATCCATCCAATACAACTTATTAGAAGTTAAACATACAGAAAAGTAAACGATATTTAGTAAAAAAACACTGGTGAACATTGGTGAACATCTAACAGAAGCTTAAACATTGGTGAACATTGGTGAACATCACCAATGACCATAACAGCTTAAGACGCGAACGAGTTATCGTGCGACAACAACACCGTAAAGACTCATCATGTCAATCGCTCAGATTTTTTAACGAAAACTTGGCTTTCTAGACAAGATCTTTAGTACTCGCCAACGTCTCTACTCGATTTTATACGTCGGCGAGTTGGCGTCGGCGAGTTGACTGTAATTCTGTTGTTGCCTAGCCTCCATTTGCAATATGGGTGTTGTCAACACTCAAACCCCTAAGAGTGATAGGCATCTAATTTCTCCCAACAGTATTACCCCTGAATCAAACATTAAGGACACAAGAATAAAGAAAGTGATCACCAACTAAAGATCTTGATTGTTAGAAAAATTCTCCTTACCAGCACCTTAGGAAATGTATTGAGAACAGTATGGAGAATATGCATGCTGATGTTCGGGTGTAAAGCATTCAAATTGTGCAAATTGCAAAGCCTCTGGTGCATTTACTGTCAATATTCTTCAACGATAATGACCCTAGAGTATTATTAATTAACATGGGGCCTGAAATGAAAAAGGAATCCTCATTCGACTTCTGGTGCTTACATTGTATGTGGCAAAAAATGATGGCCAGTAGTAAATTCTTTGTTTGCCCATTTATAAATGACGAGACCTTAAATAGCCATTTGACCTAATGATACAAGAGCATTCATTCCTGAAAAGATTTTGTAACAAATGCAAGTTAGTTATTAATTTCTAACAAATTTTTCTATACATTACACCAAGTTTAACCAAGTTGAAAGTACTCTTTCAACACTATACTGTTTTCTTTCCATTCAGGAAATAGAAGAAGCATGTAAGAGACTGAAGAAAGAAATTGATAACTTGGGACCTGAAGTAGGCGAGCTACGCTGTATCCCACTGTACTCAACTCTTCCCCCACAGCAGCAGCAGCGTATCTTTGATGCTGCTCCAGCCAAACGTCCCAATGGTGCCATTGGTCGCAAGTGTGTGGTGTCCACCAACATAGCTGAAACATCTCTCACCATTGATGGTGTGGTGTTTGTAATAGATCCTGGATTTTCCAAGCAGAAGGTCTGTCTTATTCTAGAATTTTATCACTGTCTACTTTGTACAAAGTGTTTTACTGTTTTTCTTGTCTTTTAATCAGCACAAGACAAAGAAAACCTCCTGAGTTCCCCAGACAAATCAAACCTTAGACGTTAAGTGCTCAGGTGCAATTCTTCATGGGAACTCAGAGTTTTTTCTATGTTCCATGTTTAATATGTGACAAGATGAAAAAATATCTCTTTCTTTACCAAGCTCAAAAATATAATTCTAGTTTATTGTTACATGCTAAGGTTGACCGAGTGTAAAGTCATTTTTATCTGGTTTTTTATAATAGGTGTACAATCCCCGTATCCGTGTAGAGTCACTGTTAGTTTCTGCTATATCTAAAGCGAGTTCACAGCAGAGAGCTGGCCGTGCAGGTCGTACACGTCCTGGCAAGTGTTTCAGGTTGTACACAGAAAAAGCTTATCAGACTGAGATGCAAGACAATACATACCCTGAAATCCTGAGGTCCAACCTTGGTACTGTGGTGCTACAGCTGAAGAAGTTGGGCATTGACGACTTGGTGCATTTTGACTTTATGGATCCTCCTGGTAGGTTAAGCCTTTCACCATTTGTAATTTGCTTCACAATTCTCATGATGATATTGTGGAGAATTTAGTATTGGATCAATTAATAATCCCTTAATTTATGTTTTTCTTTATTCTCATCTCTTGTCTGCTTGATATTGTATTTATTTTTATAAGAAGAAATTCTGTCTTGGTCTCTCATTGGAGTTAACCCTTTAACTCTCAAGATCTTATTAGTAATTCTCCTTACTGTCTGAATATTATTCTGGTGATGTTAGTTCAGAGAATTTGGTACTGGATCTACTAATAATCCCCTAATTGATATTGTTCTCTATTCTCAACTCTGGTCTACTTGATGTTGTATTGATATTGTATTGATATTGTAAAAAGAAATTCTGTCTTGGTCACTCATGGGAGTTAAAGGGTTGAGGGCTTGCTAGCAAGCTGATGTATAAGCACTTGATTTGTGATGATTCCCAGAAGATTCTTTTTTGAAGGAATGGCATGAAGTCTTCCAAGTGAAAGTTTATGTACAAACCAGACAAAGGGGACTAACATTTTATTCTCTTTGTTTTCAATTTGCTAGCACCAGAAACCCTGATGAGAGCCCTTGAACTGCTGAACTATCTTGGTGCCCTTGACGACAATGGAGACCTCACATCACTGGGTTCCATGATGGCAGAGTTTCCACTTGACCCTCAACTTGCCAAGATGGTGATTGCCAGCTGTGACCATAACTGTTCTAATGAAATTCTCTCTATTACTGCTATGTTATCAGGTACACTCTATGTCTATATCAAGTGAACCTGTTGATTTAAAAATACCTTTTGATGTTATTATTTTATAGTTAACTGGAATTTAACATAGTTAAGAACTAGGAGCAAATATGATCAGTAGTGTTTTCAGGCATTTGGTGCACATTTGTTGCACATTTCAGTGGCTGTTAAGCATTCAAGCAGCATTTGTTGCATTCTGTGGCATTTGCAGCAGTACTGTGGTTTTTGGGGCCCTGGGGCTGTCCTCTTCTAGCAGTATACCTTATCAGTGCATGTGTTTTTCTGTCATTAGCTTGTGTTGGGTTTGTTGTTCTACACCGTGGCATCATTGTCCTTAAAGATAGCAGTTCTTTGTGTTTCCTTCCCCCCAACTCTAACTGTAGGGTTTCTAGTGTGGGGTTTATTTCATATTATTTGTTTTATTTATTGATTAATTTATTTATTCATGTTTTCCTCCATTGAGCCATCTGGCTCTAGTGTGATATGTGATAATACTCATAGGGGGTAGGGGGCTGGGGGGGGGGGGGGGGGGGGGGGGGGGGGGGGGGGGGGCTCATGGCTGGATTGCGGGTTAGGCAAGCCAGTCAGGTGTTCTAGCTCCTTGGTGTACAGCTGTGGTTGCAGACCCCAGGCCCTCAAGCACCTCATTTCCATTTACAATGTGGACATTAAATTTTAATTTAACAGTGATCATGCCCCTGTCCATTAGTTCCTCAGGTGTTTATGAGACCAAATGAAGCTAAAAAGGCAGCTGATGAGGCTAAGATGAAGTTTGCTCACATTGATGGAGACCATCTGACCTTGCTGAATGTTTACCATGCATACAAACAGAGTGAGTATTACAACCTGATCCTAATGTTCAGTTTTCTGATGTTAATATTTGTACATTGTAAACTAAATACCTTTTACTAACCCTT